TTTAATAGATTTAACTGATTGTGAGCACTTAAAGCCAGGAGTTGTGTGACATCATTTAGGCTTCTGACATACCAATAGAGCAGCTATGTGACATGTATGTATGAAAATTACTTTGTGGATAATCAACTCAATGGTAAGTGGCTGGAAGTGATTACATTTATTTGAAATCATTACTATATTTATTCATATTTCAGAATCAATTTTAAATAATGTTCTTTTTTAATTGTTCAGGTTATCTGCTCCACACACCTTCCTTTAGAAAATGTTGATATTGAACTTTGTCACTGCAATCTTTTAACAAACATTTCCATTATGACAAAGAGCATGCAACATTTTCTTCTATAAATGGTCAGTGAACTACTTTACTTTACTTTTATATTCCCGGGACCATTTTAATTTTAAATTTTGTAAAAATTGGCATTCAGAGTTTGATTTTACTTGATGTTCATTTTGGATTAATCAGTCCTATGTTAATTAAGCACAATAAAATTAGCTTTATCATATTTAATGTAATAGAGATAACTGTAAAAACTGATTATAAATTATGAATTATTGTAAAATTTATATTTTAAATAAATAAAGATTCATTCTGTTTAAATTTTCATACTATATTTTACTATATCTGTAAGGAATTAATACTTGTAATTAATAATATTTGTAATTTAATATGATTGTGATTGTTATGACAACAAACTATTTAAATTTATTTTTTGGATTTGTTGTACTTGTTTAAAATCAAACAATATAGTTTTAAAGAACATTAAAAAGCGTATTTGAAGAGAGAGTGCTTATTTTTTACCGTTAAACACATAGATAACCCCTCAATATAGCAAACAATTTGAAGTACAAGTTGGCCACCTGTAAGACTTGGCTTAAGAACTGTCAATATAAATTTCAGAATACCAAAGGTTTTTTCGCTATGCTGAATATTCCCAATATATCAAAACACTGGGATAGGTTGAATGAAAATGATTATGAAGTTCCATAGATGACTGGACAAATGGGGCATGTCTAAGTCAAGGCTGGTGTGGTGGGTGGACTGGATTATTTGTTACCCATATAAGAATATTCTGGAAGTACCTAGAAGAGAAAACCCATAAAAGAGTAAATGACACCAGTGACAGGACCTTTCAGACCATATGACAGGAATGCCACCACCAAATAAGATGAATACAGAAATGATACTAGGAAGTTACAGGAAGGAGGAAGTAAATAAGAGTTTTATATTAAACGAATCATTACACTACTTTAGTATCAAATGAGTAATATACTTTACTACACTGTTGTTATGATCCATCAGACACTGAAAGTAATCTTGTCAGACAACATAATGAAATATGCCAAAGTAAATGCTTCTTTCTACAAGAAGTTGATTCTGAGTAAAAATTAGATGTTACAAGGGAGTTTGGCATCACCCTTTCCATTCTGTCAATGATTTTAAAAGATCATCCAACATTGAAAAAAGTTAAAAAGATCCAATGTTGAATCTAGCAGGAATAAAATGCATAGCACACAGTTTGAGGATGTGCGGAAAGTTATTTTTATCTGGTTTCAAGATGTTCAAGCATGCCACTGTCCCATGGGCAGTTCCTCTTTTTTTTGCAGGGATTTTGTGAAAAGTATGGAATTATCTCAAAATCTTTATGCAGAGAAACATTACTGTTTCATTGCACATAGCATGTGCATGGACTACAGACAAGATACTATTTTTAAATACAGTACAGATGACATTTTCAATCCTGATGAAACAGGACTGCTGCAGAGGAAGCAAAAATTCTAAATAGTGATTTACTGCCACGTTTTATTGCAGTACCACAGGTAAGAAATGATCTCACACATTACACTACATTGCATTCTTTCATCCCTTTTTATCTTAAGAATGATCACATACTGATATCCACTGTACATGAAATGGATATGGAGAATATGAGATCCTTAATCATTGCAAAAGGATCAAGAGCATAGTGTATTATATGAACAATGTGTACTCTACACACTGCAAACTGCCAAGATTGAATGATGCAAAGCATTTTTAATAAATAGTTGAACTATAAACTGGATTAAAAGATGAAACAAAAGTAAAGAGTCCAGCAGTCAGATGACAACTGCTTGGTTTGAGTCCCAACTGGAAAATGTGCAAGTTGAGAGCTTTATACTGCTGTTCTACAGTTGATCTTGGAATAATCCATACTGTACAGGCTGAATCTTGATTATTTTTTGCAACATTGATAACTATGTCTAGAGAAGGATCAATGTAAAGCAAGCTGTTGACAAGAATGCTGCAACATGGGCACATGTCATGAATTTTATCACACTATATTTTGTCTGGTAGCATTAGAAAGCACAAAATGTCACAGGTTCTCCAACCCTGGTGTAGGAAACAAAGTTAATGACTACAATTAACCTTTTTTCTAGTTCAAAGTATCATAATCATACTAAATAATATTAGTTAATGGTGATGTCCTTCCATTAACTGTCAGAATTATTATTACTGTTTGAACAAAATATAATTCTTAAAACTCTACCAGCAAAATTATTTATTAACATAACATTATTTCTAGGATTGTGATGGATAAAATTCATGAAAATTATTAGAAAAAAAGAAACCTCAATCTTAAAATGAAGTATATAGTGAAATTTAACAATTGATATTGTGTATAACTTTCTCTGAGGACAAAATTGACCATTGGTCAGCTATTGGTTAACGTCAATACTTAAAGACGATTTCACAGCTAGCGATGCTAACGTGAGTCTATCATAATATATTATTTACCAAATGGTTTTTTTTAAAAACAAGCAATTATTTATTGTGACATTGTCACAATGTTGGGCTGCAATTTTTAATTTTTTAATTTAAAGTATATCCTCTCCACCTCAAATTAGTAGTGGCTTGCCCCTGTACATCACACTTTTCCTTTAACAACACAGTTATGCCAGTCATATCTGTAACACCTTCCTGGGAAAGTTTTTATATAATTAATTGGGGCCTTCTGCCCCTAAGGTTTCCGTATCGGGTTCCGTTCTCGAAATTAAAAAAAGACAGATCGAGAATTTATAGGTCTACAAATTGCAGTCCAAAAATCTTAATATGTAAATCTTATTACTTTTTATAACTTTAAAGAATCATTAAACAAAGTAAAAAAATTGAAATAAGTTAATGACAGTGGCATGTTATAGTTTTACGAAGCCCCTTTGAATTTGAATTAGGGAGGCCCACCCAGGCAATTGCATTTTTTGCCCATAGAATAACACGCCACTGGTTAACAAAATTATTTTTTGTATATTTTTATTGTTAGATATACTGTTTTGTGTATAAAATTGCTATTACAAATTTAATTTTGTTCATTAATAAGTTTATACAATACATGTGTAAGCACTTAAATGATACATTAATACAAAAAAAGACAACTTATACATTCAAAACTAATTTAATTATAATGAAAATTTTAATTGCAAAGTTACTTTTATGCTACTCTAAATACGTATTGAACAATTTATTTTTTTTACAACTGCCACACAAACACATACGGCACACTGTATATAGTATAATGGCACCCGTATTCGACTGTTTAAAGCTGTTTTAAACTTTGATATTTTTTATTACAATAAGTAGTAGCATGAAAAGCAAAATTCATATATGAAAATAAAGATTGTTCTATAGTTATCATGAAAACAAAACACAGTCAAATACAACAGCAGTCGACAATAGGCAGAAAAACAGCTTTATATAATACATTATAAGTATGTTTTGCCTATTGTAAAGAAAACATTGATTTTATATATCATTTTAAAATAATGCCAGTTTTCCCAATCATTTAACATTTCAAAAAGCAAGTTTTAAAGGGTCTAAATAAATATATCTAGGAACAATTCCTTGTAATGTTTCTGAAAACCATTCAGTAGGATATTATCTTCATATACTTATTAAAATTTATCTTTTGGGGGTGCTTTTAAGATTTTCTGGCCTTTCGTTTTAAGGATATTATGGCAGTTAATCGCCTAATTAAACAAATGACAATCTTACAAAATAATTGAGCATCAATTCACCAATTACATGCAAATTCAATATAAAACAGCACATTAAATATTAAAAATTTAATTAACATTATAGAGCATGATCTCAGGTAAGTTGTAATTCAATTTTCCATTTTACATTTTAACATAGAACAATAATAGATAATTATATAATATATTTAATTGTTATTTTACATTTGATAATATAATTTTATTTCGATTATTTATAATAAATTATATAATTATATTTTCATGTTCACAAAAACATTACACATTTTTGATATGCAGCAACTAAGTCAGTTGCTGCCTATCAAAAATACCACTTTGGCAAAAGGGCCACAAATGAAACACAAATTCAAAAATACAAAATAATTACATATAAACTATAATTAAAATAAACTCAATAATCGAAATAGTATATAGATACACACCGATCAACTAAAGTAAATAAGCATTTAAATATCTTGCATAAAGTTACATGCTTTTCTCGACTACAGTTAAAAGTAATAGATACAACCACCTGTTAGCAAATCAAATATAATAGAGATAAGTTGACATTATCAAAATAATAATAATATACCGATGAAAAATTAAAAAATAAAGTTTAATTTCATAGACAGTCAGAGTACGCCATTAATATGCACACAATAAATGGCTTTTTAAATAATAAACCACCGAATATAGATTGTACTGCCGATCTTGGAATAATCCATACTGTACAGGCTGAATCTTGATTATTTTTTGCAACATTGATAAATATGTCTAGAGAAGGATCAATGAAAAGTAAGCTGTTGACAAGACTGCTGCTGGATGGGCACATGTCATGAATTTTATCACACTATATTTTGTCTGGTAGCATTAGAAACCACAAAATGTCACAACCTTGGTGTAGGAAAACAAAGTTAATGACTGAACTAGAAAAAAGGTTAATGGCAAAGTATATACATTATACTAAATAATATTAGTTAATGGTGATGTCCCTTCTATTAGCAGTCAGAATTATTATTACTGTTTGAACAAAATATAATTTTTAAAACTACCAGCAAAATTATTTATTAACATAACATTATTTCCAGGATTTTGATGGATAAAATTAATGAAAATTATTAGAAAAAAAGAAACCTCAATCTTAAAATGAAGTGTATAGTAAAATTTAACAATTGATCTGGTGTATAACTTTCTCTGAGGACAAAATTGACCATTGGTCAGCTATTGGTTAACGTCAATACAGTACTTAAAGACGATTTCACAGCTAGTGATGCTAACGTGAGTCCATCATAATATATTATTTACCAAATGGTTTTATTTAAAAACAAGCAATTATTTATTGTGACATTGTCACAAAGTTGGGCTGTAATTTTTAACTTTTAAATCTAAAATATATTTTCTCCACCTCAAATTAGTAATGGCTTGCCCCTGTACATCACACTTTTCCTTTAACAATAGAATCGTGCCAGTCATATCTCTAACACCTTCCAGGGAAAGTTTTTATTGAAATAACGCAA